TAAGAAAGACAGAGAGAGACTTTTTACCAGGGTCTGTACTGACAGGACAAGGGGAAATGGTTTTAAACTCAAAGAGGGTAGACTTAAATTGGACATAAAGAAGAAATTTTTTATAAGGGTGGTGTGACACTGGGACAGGTTGCCCAGAGAAGTGGATGCCCCATCACTGGAAGTGTTCAAGGTCAGGTTGGATGGAGCTTTGAGCAACCTGGTCTAGTGGAAGGTGTCCCTGCCCATGGCAGGGAGTTGGACTAGATGATCTTTGAAGGTCCCTTCCAACCCAAACTGTTCTATAATCCTATGATCTCATTGTACCAGAATTGTATGGGCAGACTGAAACATGACAACGCAGTAGGTATTGCAGATATCTGCATTTAGCAAGTATGAAAGTGATTAAAATTGTACTTGGCAAGGAGGGGCTTTGTGTGCACGTATGTGTTAGGTATCTATCCTACTTTCAGGTTGTACTTGCTGGACACACTAAAATCTAGCAATGCATTTCAACAGTAGTAGTTGGTGTGGCATGATCTATTCTAACAAGATGCTCAATTTACTCAGTATCACAGTATCATGCAAAAGCTGCTACAAAAATAAATTTCTCTAAAAAAAGAGAAAAAAATCAAAAATCACCTTTTTTTTTTAACGCTGTGGAACAGGCCACAGGCGCTTTGACGGTGATTGAAGCTGTATCTAAGCTGCAGTCTGTGAATTCTGAGTACTTCCCAGGAAAGCTGAAGCACAGCTCCCATCTGAGCAGTACGGCAGAGCTGTGCAATGCCACCTCTGCTCACGCAGGGTGTGCCTGTGCCACCGCACACCGGGGTAGGAGAGCCGCCCTCCCCACAGCGCTCCCACACCCCAGGGATTTGCTGCACGTACCGTCTCCCGCTTACTTTGACCCTGCTGCTCAGAGCAGGAATGCACGCAGGCTCTTTGCCCCACGCTGGATAGAAAAGGATCCCACAGATCTCTTTTTTTTTTAAATTATGCTCAGGGATATTTTTTTTTCCTTGGTAGCAGTGCCCACGAGGGCCCTGCAGCCTATCCCACCCCAGCCGCTCCTCAGCCTCGCCACCCCTTCAGGTGGAGGTCACCCCAAGCCTGGGCGAATTTTTTTGCTTCTAGGCAGAGAAGTTAAAGGTAGTTTAGCCACCCTTTTCCGTGAATCTCAAAAGTGCTCTGTAACTTTGGGTAAACTTTAGCAGTGTGAAATAATATATGTATGTGGAAGGAAAGAAATTCTGACCTCATTTGCGCCCATGTAATCCGCTGCGCTCTATTTGGTGTTTCAGATGGGAGGAAGCTAGAGACCTAGCAGGCGCCTGGTATCTCATCCTAATACTGGAAACCTCTTGGCCAGCAAAGGTCAAGGATGAACAACTTATTTTCTCCTTCTTGCTTATGGGACTTGAAAGAAATCAAAATGGATAGGAACCTACAACGCAAGATTTTGATTGTATCCAAACCAGGACAAGGTAAAACAAGATAAGATCTAACTAGGATTTAAAGACACTAAAATTGAAACACGTTAACCAGTAACTCTATCAAATTTGCTAAAACCCTCAGGTTTCTCATCTCTAGCCTATCTCCACTTACAATATCGATGCTAAGAGTTAAAAAGCAGTGAATGGTATGCGTATCTTATCTGGTGTTCAATGCAAAGGTGATGGTTTCAAAGGCAGTACTGTCTCAGAATTTCAAAGTCGCTGGTGTTCATGTTACATAGAGTACCACTTGGTGGTCATTTGGAAGGCGCTTCTACTTCTGTGTAACTTTCTTCTAGGTTGGGTATAAATATTCCTGGGAGGCTAAACAGAAATGCATTTCATTTAGATACAAGTCTTAGGCACGAGTTAGAAAACTGCTGACTGTAATGAAAATATATCAGCACTTAGTAGTATCCAATAATATAAAAAATGCAATTCAGAACATCTTCAACTACATATATATGTGTGTGTGTCTATATATAGGTATAAAGGTACAATACGTACATGTATATAAACACAGACACATATACAGAAATATTCACAACTTGAACTATATTTGTAACTAACCTGAAATACTGCAGCAAAAGTTCATTCTGATGAACCATTAATATAGTATTTCCAACTTTTGGCTCTAACCATAGTTAAAATGTTAACACATCAAACTAAACATTTTGCTATCCTAACTTTCTGCTGTGCTAGCTTTTTGCTATCTGTTCTGCTACCCTAATCAACATGTCAGGACCAAGAGCTCCTATATGGGGACTATAAGAGTACCCTGCCTAGTGTAAAGCTATGCAGCTACTGAGCATGCTTGCAGCCATGAACCCTGGGCGCCTGTTGATGGTAATACTTCCTTGGATGGTACCATTTAGCAGATTGGAAATGCATAAAAGGCAGGGGACCTTTGGCACGCAGGTGCCGAATCATCGCCGCAAGGTTCTGACTTTTGCTGGAGAGGAGTTCCCTGATGAGCAGCGATAAAAAGAAGTGGACGATGTGGGTGGGAGTTTCACAGGGCTCACGGCATCTCCCTCCTGCAGCTTCCAGAGGAGCTCTTCATTAGTCCTGCTCAGCTTCTTTTTCTCCTCCACTTCTTTCTCAACGTATTCTTGAAGATTAGCATTCTCCTCTGACAATTGCCTGGAGAGGGAAGCAGGACAACATGTAAGGCGCACCAGTGTGAAGACAGTGGCATTAACGCAGCCAGCACTGCACAAGAGGCAGGGCCAGGCAGGATCCCGAGCACCTCCCTCCATCCCATCCCATCCCATCCCATCCCATCCCATCCCATCCCATCCCCCTGCCCCTAGGGCTGCAGCTGAGCTGTCCAAGCTGCGAGACAGCTGTCCTCGGGTCTCTTCACTGCCGGGCGAGAAAGGCATCTCCGCAAATCACAGCTGCCCCCCAAAGTCTGACTCTGCCTCCGGATGCACCTGTGTCTTTGCTCTACACCTCTCTGAGGCAGCTCAGCTGCCAAACCTTAGATGGGATGAGCCCCAGTCTTCCTCCATGGCTTTGTGCAACTGTCAGCATCATGCATGGCACGCAAAGGTGCCAAGGGCTTTGTACATTGACCACATACTCCAGACACTTTAGAAATGGCTTTTTCCCATATAGACAGCAGAGTAAAAAATGGAAATTCCTAAAAGAAAAATTTGGTGTATTTGTTTCTTTATTTGTATATTTGAAAGTAGCAAAAATGCAAGGCTGCAGTGCACTGCAAGAACAGGATTCTCCACTCATGGACAGAGGGGATGGAGAGGGTAACTGGAAATTTAGGCTGAGATAAGGCACAGGTGTGCGCTCATCCTCCTCCAGCGCTGGCCTTTCCTGGGAGGACGTGGGTTTGTGAGCAGGGTGGGAGCTGAAGAGAGCCCCATCAGTCCCCGTGGTGGGCAACCAGGACTGCAGAGCACACCAGCTCCATGCCAGTCCCATGCTCACGCTCAGCCTCAGACACTGGTGTCTGGAGAGGACTTCAGAGCTGGCCCCAGATACATAGCTTGGGGATGTAGGTAGGCACAGTGGTTTCAGAGGTCATCTTCTCATCAATATTTGTTTGTGACTGAGTTGGTTTTGGCCTTCTGAGAGCTACTGTGCAATGAAGCTGATCAGGGCATTATCCCCCCACCCTGTTCAGCACATGGAGGAAGCAGGTGCCCAGCATGGGGTTGTGGCCTCTGTTTGCACAACCTGTGCACTGGCACAGCAGTTTCTACCCGGGAATATGCCCATAAACCTCTGTGGAGCCAAACCCACACCCAGATGGAGCCCAGAGCCCTGGGTCAGTGGGCACTTGTGCTCCCTGCACATGCGACCTCTTGGCCAGGGCTCCTGTTCCTGCACCAGGAAGACAAGGGCCTTCAGAGGTCAACCCAACATGGCCTGCCCCAGCCAGGGCACCCCTGCAGATAACCGATGAACATCACAAAGTGCAGGTGGGCTCCTTAAATCCCGCTTTCTCCCCGGCTCCAATGCCTGGCTCCAGCCACCTTTGCCTTGTGGCATTTCACAACCCAGAGGTACTTGCAATGCTGCCCCATTTTTTCTAGAGCAGCAGAGCAGAGGGCAATAGCTCTGGGTTTTAGGCTTTCTTCTGTTTGATTGAGGACAAAAATCCAAAGTCCCAACTCCATGGACAGCTGTAACTCTCACCCTTCTTTCTCAACCCTGCCACGAAAGCTGTGCCATGAGCGAGAGAGCATTCGTGGAGTGGCAGAGCAAGAGCGAAGAGGTGAGAGAGAGCAATTGCATCCCTGACTCTTCCAACCAGCTGCTACTGCATGCAAAAGGAAAGGAGTCTGCACTCTCCATGCTCGCTGTTTTAGCTGATGTCCTGACGAAGGATGTAGCTCAGCTTCGAGGCCTTCCCTCTCCTCTCTAAATGGTAATGAGGCTATGGGTCCTTCTCCAGCTCCTTCCTCCTTGGTCCTTACGAACCCTCTATTCCTGACTCCAACACCACAGAAACTTCACTAGCAAGGATCAGGGAGGTGTTTTCCCCAGAATGCCCTATAACCTGATGGCTTTTTGGGAGGTGGGGCATGGAAATCTCTTATGGGCACCACAACCTTAGTGAGTCTGCTCTCATCTAACCAGGTGACTGGTTTTCAAAGAAATGGGGCACTGCAGTTAGACTGCGGGACCTGATCGAGACATGTTTTGGGCATGTGCCAGCAACACCACCATCCCAGAGGATGCACGCAGGAACACCTGGCTACTGCAGCCCCATTATGGGCAGGAGCCAGGTTCTGATATGCTCAGCCTGGGGCAGCTCTGGGCATGCACCTAACCTGATTTACAGGCAACTTAGGATTTTCTAGAAATAAACAGGGAGGCACCTAACCTCCTCCCTAGGTATTTCCAGGGTTCAGCAGCAGCTGGGTGTGGATTTTGGATGCACACATCAAATTCTGCCCAGCTCCTTTGGGCAGAGGAGCATATAGCCTGAATATATATGGCATTATATATAATGCTATATATAGCCTGAAGCCCATAGCAGATGTCATGGATTGCTGGTCCACTCTCTTTGGGTCATCAAAAGTCTCTGAGAGGTTGGGGTGGCATTTTTGATTTTGTTTAAAAAACATTTTTAAAGAATTTCTGCTTTTTTGGCCTCAGTTCCTACAGAAATGGAACTAAGGTGATCTAGAATGTGTGTGTTTCTCTCCCACTCCCCTGAAAGTTTTGAACCATGAAGCACTAGCTAGCAGAGTTGAAGGATTAAAAGACACAAGTTGGCAGAAGTTTTCAGAAAGTTGCTTGCCTGGTAGAGGAGAAAAATCCTATTCACGGTCCCATTGGGAAACCAGCTGTGGCATGAGCTCACAGTCTAACAGGCACAAGAAAGTGTACATGGGAGCTCGCCCTGGAGAAATGACTCCAGAGGAAACCTCTTGCTACCCATGGAATTACATTGTCTTTTGCTGTGCCTAACAAGACAGGCCACAAAAATTATGCACAAAGCCCAACTATATCCTTTTCCAGCCAGCATTTGCTGAGGGGAAAAAAAAAAAAGCACATGCCTTCTCCACATTTGTGTGGCTCTTAGTGTGTGACTGGCTCGCTAAGCTGGTAAAGCTCATCTGTGTATTGGGAACAGGCTAGTCACACCAACACACACCTCAGAGCACAGTGAAGGGCTCAGCTCCCTCCTCTGCTAAAGGCACTGCTTGGACAGGAGGCAAGCGCAGCCCACAGCCCCTCAGCACATATCAGTCTCCTTTACATTAAAAGCTGCTTGCTAGAGGTATGGTAGGATGCATGGTGTCAGTGTCCTCTGGAGTCTCTCACACAATAGACTTTGCGGCACTAATACACACTGCAATTTGCTGACAGAGGCAGGCTGCAAGTTATACGCATGACCTGCAGGTAAGTAGGGAGACGCCTGAGCAGAAAAGAGCCTTGCAGCTAAGTGCCTGTGAACACACCATGCAGCATGTGGACATGTCCTCCAGAGAGACCTGCTTTGGTACGCAGATGGGGAAAGTTGCTGCTGCTTGTTGGGCTGCTTATTTTAGCCCCGTGCACATTGCGCTGGGAATTTATGCCGTGTCACCTGATGTGACGTGACCGGCCACTGGCAGAGCCAGCTTCACGCCACCCGGAGACAGAGGCAGCCTGCACAGCCAGCAGTGCCGGCATCCTTCAGCAAAGCCTCTGCCTTCAGCTCAGCCAACCTGTATCTGCCCCTGCTGCACCACAGGGAGGGAGATGGACAGACGCAGCATTGCTGCTTATAAAAGGTACAGATGCCCATTCAGCCCCTCTTCATTGTTCAGGCAGAAGAAGGAAGAGAGGCAATGTAAAAGCAAACGTGTTCTCACTATGTAAGTTTGTATCTTGAGATATATGTTCCAATTTTAGACCTAACCCAGCTAGCTAGGGAAACCTTTATCCCTAGCACTGCAGACTTATGATTAGACATGTTCCTCTGCCAGCCTCTCGACAATTTAAGCAGCTGTAACAAATCACAGCCATAAAACTACAGAGGTGTGCAGGGGCACACCGACGTGATTGGGATGCAGGGGAAGGTGCTTGAGTCGTGCCCTCAGCTCACGTTAAAGCCTGTCCCAAAAGGCCCAGAGGTCAGTAGGCGCCTGGGCTATGCCAACAGAGACCAGACACCCTCCTGGTCATCTTCATCTCTAGGGTGCTGGAAACTACCACTCCTCAAACAACCCCAGACCAAAGGACCAAAAAAATGCTGGTTGATTTGGAGGGAGAATCCAAGATGTTGGGAAATCAGATGATTTATTCAAGTGCTTAGGGAAGTCCCAGCAGAGGCTCTGTGGAGCTCCTGTGTCCAAAGCTGGTGCATGATCTACCTGCAAGGCTCTTCCTTCCTTTGTACCTGCCCTTGGCTATGATTGGAAATATCTCTGTGGTGCACCCCTCAGCCCCCCCGATGCCTCTGGGACCCCCCTCCTGGCTGTGCTGCAAAGGCTGGCTTTGCTGTGGCTCCCATCTCTCCTGCCCCCCTCTCTCCTCTTGCTGCTGCTGGGCTGCCACAGCCACGTGGGCACCCAAACTGCAGATCGGCAGAAATGGCTCTAATGCACGCTGTTCCCCAGTAATGGCAGCTCCCCAAGCTCGTTCACACGGCACTTGCTGGCAGTGCCACTACAACAGAAATGAACAGTCGGGGTGGCTACTGCTGCCAGGAAAACATGTTTTAATAACTCTGGCTTTAAAGCCCTGGCTGACGCTGTCCCGACAGCTGTCCCCATAGCTGTCCCCAAACTGTTATTATTGAAAACGACTGTCCTCTAAGTTGACTTTCCAGGCTGACCTCAAGTTCAGAATTTTTCCCAAAAGATGTTCTTTGAAACCAGTACCTACATAGTTACAGGCAAGAAGCAAAGTGCTCTAGCTGGACACTGGTGGGGAGTGGAGGGTGCTATTCACCCAGCCAGAGGCAGGTAGCTGCAATATAGAGGCCACGCACTGAACCAGGCACCCTGGCTGCTGCCACAGGTGTGGAGAGAGACTGCCACTTCCAGACCACAATTCATCCAGCCCAAAAGCAGGTGTCTCATACTGGTCTGGTGAACCAGACCTTAAAAATTCTCGTTTTTCCTCCCCAAGCACAGAAGGGCTGTAGACGCCCACCTCAGACAGTGACATGTGTGTTACAGGTATTTACAATCAGGTGAGATGAAACATAATCCTCACCCCAACCTGAATGTTAGTACAAACAATGCTGCCTTTTTAAAATACCTACATGCAGGAGACAATTTTTTTTAAAGGCTGAATCACTAATAAAGGAGACACTAGAAAGACAAAAACTAAAATTAAATCAGAGATGAGATGCTGAATCTTTAAAAAGTCAGCTAAAAGTCATCTGCCACAGCTAGGCAGATGGTGTGTTGGGTCGAGTTCAGCTCTAGCATCTCCCCCTGGTACCCCTTCTGCCTGGCTCCAGCTGCGGTCTCTTGACTTAGAGCAGACTATAAACTCTCTGGGACAGGGACTGTCCTGCCTTCCTCTATTTCTATACCACCCAACACAAGGAGCCTTGTCACCCTTGTCAGGTTGTGACAAGAGTGCAAACAGACAGTGCAGATAAAAAAAACCACCAAAGGATAGACATGCCTGGGTGACAGTGGCATCGTTAGGATGTCTCTCCTGAAATTGCCCCATATCCCATCCTTGTTACCCACTGACTAACAGGTATCAGGGCACTGACACTGAGATCAGAAGCCGCTGGCAACTTTGCTCTCAGCAGCATGTCAAAATCATGGAAATACACAGACAGATATGTGGCCTTCCTTATGTTAAAGTAAGCAAACCCTGATATAAAAAGGATTTTTTAATAAAACAAGCAGATCAGGACACCAATACACTTTCAGGAGGAAATAAGTTTTTCCCCTTCTGAAATAAGCGTCAGCCTTGGGCAGTTAAGATCTGCAGTCTCCTTTCAAGCTCAGACAGATCGCAAATATCAGCACAAACCTTGTTATAACAGTATTTTGCTCAATCCTGGCTCTGAGTTCTTCGTTCTGCTGTTGCAGCATGGTGATTTTTTCTTCCAGTTTTAAATTTTTTTCAGCCTGCAACGAAAGAAGGTTTGTTAAGTCTGAAGAAAGCCCAACACCTGATCCAAGAGGATTTGTTCTTTATGCTTATTTGTCCCTAGAGCAAACTCTAAAATTTGAGTATAGATGGAGGTGGTCTTGACTGCAGCTGAGACTTAGAGGTCTGACTCACACCACATCATATTGGTGAAGTAAGTGGGATTATCAGCAGAGCATTAAGCGGAGGCAGAGCTGAACTAGCCCTTACTTCTAACTGAGGAGGAGGAGAGTCTTAGTCTTGTCCAGCGCAAATAAAACATCTTCCTTGGTGGTGCCCCCACAACAACGTTACCAGCCGTTGTTCTTGGACAGGGAGCTGGTGGCACCTGGGGAGCAAGGGGACGTCCAGCATGGAAAGGGCACTGTGGTGTGAGTGGTCAGTCTAGCGGTGAAGGAGGAGTGCAAGGTGGTATGATATGCATCATCCAACTCAACTAACCTCATTGGACATAAATGTCTGGTGTCCAACCTCTAGGATTATGATTCCCCGGTTATGGGGAGGAAAGAGTTACCCACCAGAGCAGATTACACCCAGCAGCAGCCTTAGACTACTGCTGCATTCACATGCGGTGGGCTGCCCTTTGGAAACACTACTCTCCACTGCTGACAGTGTCGGCTTAAATGACAGGCTTAAACTAGACATTTAACTTTAAGCTACAATTAAGTGAAATAAATCCTATCCCAAGCGTAGGTAGCTTTTACTCAGGACAGTTCAAGGACAGAGTTTGAGGATGTCAATAGCGGTATATCAAAACATCGGTAAGATGTTTATAGGCATGTACCACAGCCTCAGATGCCCTGTTTTTCCCAAGTTTTGAATTTGACATACTTTATCACCTTAGTTCTTGGGTTTTCAGCAGTTTGAATTTTGCTGAATTCAACACTTTTGGAAGAAAACAAGATATCACAAGGTAACCTTATCTCTGTGTAAGCTTGGTTATTGGATTTCCCAACCTTTTATAACGAACTGAAGTATTGTGCACTGGAGTTAGTAATAACTCACACTTTATGGTGGAAGCATCAGTTTTATGCAGTGGTTTCCAGTCTATGCAGGAGCCATAAAGGATACTCTTGATTCTCAGATATTCTGGCCTATCCCAGTATATTTTGTTAGAGCAGAACAAGGATTCTGGCCCTGTTTGGAAATGCTCTGAGAGGGGAATCACCATCACCGGCACCTTCTCTGCTTCCTCAATAGTTTTAATAAGTAGTAGCTATGCCAGAATGAAGCATGGGAGAAGACCTGTGCATCTCCTTCCTGCTCCACTGCAATCCTCACCCTATACCACTCCTCTCCTGCCACCTTCATTTCCAGCCTCCCTTTCAGCAGACAAGGAGCCAAGCCTGACCCTGTATTTGAAATGCTCTCCTGCTCCCTTACGAGGCACCCCATCTTTCAGAGCACTTGGAGATGCCCTGTAGATGTTCTGGCACTTATAAAGGTAGATCTTTAAACAGAAAGCAGTTGTGCCTTTGGACCACAGTAGACTCTGTGTTTTACTGTGATAAAGGGCAGGAGCAGGACTGTGTGCTTGTATGTGGTTAATTAGCACAAGCAGCTAAATGCCCAGGAACCATGTAGGCTGTTGTTTATTTTATTTTTTTCAGTACAGCACTACAGTGCATGTTTTCAGATGCTGGCTTAGCTCCAGGAGCAGCTTGTTGGAAGGAGCACAGTTAACAAGCCTCAGTTGTAAAGAGGTACTTTTCTCTACATCCACTTACTCAAGCATCTGTTCAGCAAAATAATAATCTGAGTTCTCAAATTTCCCCATAAATGGAAACACATCTTGCTGAAAGCTGTGCTGAACCAGCTGTCCCGGCTCCCCAGCTGAGGTAGTGCCTCATCCTGTCACCACACTATACATTTACTGTCACTGTAGGTTATGCCTTACTAAATGAATCCCCTTTCCAATAAAAAATGTAATTGATGGTGAACTGTGGAGTTCTTCGTTAGGGACTCCCACAAGCAAAGGATGAGAAAACAGCATAGGCTGCAGAAAAGCATTACTTTAGGGTTGGAGAGAGCTTTCCTAGCGTAAGCCTTGCTAGGGACTGCTTGCTGAATATTGCTAATTCATACTTGCGGCTGGGAGCTCCCTAAATGCCTGCCCTAGCAGCAGCAAAACCCACACGGCTCGATCTTTCTCCACTTGCCCTCTCCAGCCCTAAATGGTTACCTGACTCCTGTAGGGGAGTATGGTGCAGGCTGGTGTACAAAATGAAGCCCTGGAGTACCACAAAGTTCCCCTTCCTCCATTCTTCCTACACCGCCCGCCTCGCTGTCTAACGTAACGGGCTGAGCAGGTATTACATGAAAAAGCAATAAAGATCAACGGATGTGTGGGAGAAATCAAGGGTGTCATGGGTGGGTGAAGGGATGGGAAAAGATCCCAATTTCTGAGTGAAAACGTGAGACATGGTATCGTAGAAGCAGCTATGTAGGTTGACAGTGGAACAACACAATATATAGCCATTTATGAACCTCTTTGACTGTGTCTTGCCCCAACCTCATGTGTTTTCTCACCCCTTTTAAGCTCATCTGCTGTAGCCAAACTTTTACTTTTCTACCTCTGTGATGTTTCCTCTGGAGGAAAAATGACAACTCACCTGTTTTTCTAGCTCCATAATCAGCTTCTCCTGTTGGTGAATCTGATGGTTCTTCATTTCCAGAACATGTTTTAAGCTCTTCAGGTCTTTTTCTAAGTGCAGATATGGAGCTCGTACAATCTAGAAAATATACCAGTGATTTGTATATGTCAGCCGTAAATGCATCTTCAGCCATAAGATAAAGTTTCTTCAATGCACCCAGTGGTTTAGGAGTCTCAGAGATGTGAAAACCACCTGGATCTGGGCCTCCCCAGCCCATCTGAAGCCTGATATTCTCTCCCAGACCATCCCTTTGGCTGGATAGCCAACGGTACCTTTCTTTTGACCAGCTTCATGGCTAGAAGGATGTGATGCCAGGTTGTTCAGCAACCTCATTCCTTCACATAGCTTGGGAACTGCATGAGGTGTTTTATGATTGTGCAGAGATTTTGGCTTGGGAAAAGTACAAACATGAAACTGAGGTAACTGGACAAGGGGGCTGGAGGTGAAAACTAGTGTTCTGCCTTGCCTGCACCACTGCCTCACAGTGCCTGTTAACAAAGATCAGATCTGGTGGGAAAAAGTTCCTCCTCTGCTCAAGAACTTCAGCCGTAGGGGATACTAGGGTTCAACTCATGGGCAGAAGATGTGCTCTGAATTATACTGATGAAATACTGTTGCTGACTTAAGCTGTTCTGGATTTTTCCCAGTGTAACGCACTCCAGTGAACTGCTTGGTAGTACCTGGCATTAACATCACTGTGACACAGCAGAATTTGTCCTTTCATGTAAATTAAATACTGCAGTGGAGGTGAAAGGGACTGATGCTACCACTTTCCCATGGCCGAGCCTGTTTCAGACATTTGCGCTCCTTTCCTAAAAACTCACTGAGCCCCTTGCTCACCCCATTATTTTCATTGACTGTCCCCTCTGTCATGTTGATACGGCTGCCCATGGGGTTGTGCTGTGAACACACTGAAATGCTCCAAGTTAAAAGAAAACTCTTTTTGGAGGGTTATGTCAGGGTTATTTCATTTCAGATAAATAATTGCAGTAAATAAACAGCATGGCCCCAATAGACAGCAGTTGAATAAATACTTCATATGACAGGGCTGTTCCCTGCAAGTCCAGAAAAAAACGAGGGAATACAGAGGATGTCAAAGAAGTTGGTTCAGAAGGCACAAAAAAGAAACCTAAATATGAAAAGACAAAAAGTAAAAAGAAAGAGGGGAAGAAGGGAAAGAAGAGGCGGGAGTGTTGATCTGCTCGAGGGTAGGAAGGCTCTGCAGAGGGACCTGGACAGGCTGGATCGATGGGCCAAGGCCAACTGTATGAGGTTCAACAAGGCCAAGTGCCGGGTCCTGCACTTGGGTCACAACAACCCCATGCAGCGGTACAGGCTTGGGGAAGAGTGGCTGGAAAGCTGCCTGGCGGAAAAGGACCTGGGGGTGCTGGTCGACAGCTGGCTGAACATGAGCCGGCAGTGTGCCCAGG